TTATATATCCAAATTATTAGTAAAGTTTTTTTATATATCCAAATTATTAGTAAAGTTTTTTCTGTATATCCAAATTATTAATAGTTTTTTTTGTATATCCAAATTATTAGTAAAATTTTGTTTTGCATATTCAAATTATTAGTAAAGTTTTTTATATATATCCAAATTATTAGTAAAGTTTTTTATATATATCCAAATTATTAGTAAAGTTTTTTTTGTATATCCAAATTATTTATATTCTAAAGAAACTGTAAAGTGGCGTTAGTATAGCAGTAATATAAAAAAAACTGTAAAATGTGATAATTTTATCTTATATATATCTATATATGCTACAAACCATAGAAAATGTATTAGTATTTTCTCCTGGTCAGATTGGTAGAATTTTTGCAAGTTGCGCTGGATTTTGAAAAATAGAATGTCTAACAAAACCGAACATGAATTTAACTTGTAATACGGTTGAGCTGGAATTACTAAATTTAATGTAGGTAATAATAGTTATCACTCACAAATCGTTCAACTTTCAAAACCAAAAAAGTATGGTTGATTTACAACCTTTGAGTGAAAGCACAGGAGAATATGATATGTCAGCCACACAATATCTGCTATACCTAGTGCTGACATCAGGCGTAGTAGCAGTTGGTGTGCTTTTATGATGTGAGCCAGATTAAGCAAGTGAATGGTAATTTGCATCAATTTTATTTAAGGCCTTTACAAATCTGATTAATTTATGTTAACCTTCTTTTTAGGAAAGTATAGAAGTTAAATAGTTACACTGTTAATATGTTCTCGTTTTACCATTATACGAAATTTAGTATATGTAAACGCTTATATTCGTAATGCATCGACAAAACATATTGCTAGGAATATACTGTATGCGTTAAAATGTAACCCGTTTGTAGGACTTGTAGTAAAGCAAATTTTGACGGTTATGTATGTTCCAGTTCTTTAACATAGCATCATTTATATCACCAACTAGAAGGCTTGTGTTATTCCTTCACAAAAAAAACAACAAAAAATGAAGATGGAGAGCAGCATGTTGCTGCGACATTGAAAGGAAGTTGTCATCTCATATATTACATTTGGGTGAGTGTATAACACTGGCGAACCCATACGAACAGTAGTTCAGAAAATGTACGTTACAGTAAAAAGTTTTACACCTATGTCGAACACCACTTATCCCTCGATAATACAGACTACGTGGGCGGCCTTTTTTATGGTGGGGTGGGGAAGCATGCCTTAGAAACATCTGGGTTTCAACAATCAGTAAGATAAGATTAAATCACATAGCGAAAATATTCTGAAATCTAACTCCATGAATTTAAACATGACTTGTTTACACAAATATGAATTAATATGCTTATGTCTTTGTGGTTTTAAAACTTGTATGTGTTTATTCAACTTGTCTTTGTCAGAACAGTTTGGGACAATCGGGTTTTAACAAGTGCTTTTTAACAGTTAGACTGTAAACGATCAGTATTTTTTTATCGATTCAATAGTGGATACATGTTAATTTACCAGTCATTAGTATGTTGCTTTTCTTTCCATCATCAATACATATCAGTTCAGTAATTATGTGAACATTACTTGATAATATTTTTGGTAGAAATCAATAAAAACACTGATTTTGCTTGCAAACGCTAATGTGTTTAGAGATTTTGTTAGTACACGTTATCCATTTTTTACTCGTAAGTTATTGCAGTGTATCAATTTGCAGGTGGCGTCAAATTATGACATCTGTACTTGTGTGAGTGTTTTACGATAGACATTGTACATTGCACGTGTACTTTTGACACTTCTGTGACATTATTTGTGGGTTGATCTTTTTTTTTTTTTTACATGACAAACTTATATGTGTTATTCCCACAGATGAGGGAAACCGGGAAATGTTAGTTATTTTTATATCTAGCGGTCATGCCCTGGAAACATCGGGGGATTTTATTTTAAAGACAAAACTGAGAAAAGTCTGAATTTCATGTGATTCATTAAAGCTTCTTGGACACTGATGGTGGAAACATAAATCATTAGTGCCAAAAACAAGTTGCGTACAGGTTAATTTTGGCACATTTAGCACGTTAATATGAGTATTTTATACGTAAACATTGTTTTGTCTGCATTAATATAACTTACTATTAATTGTCATGTAGAATGAAGACAGTAGTGGTAGATTACGTAAACAATAGCTAGGTTCCCGCCCAAACTGGGTGTAAGGGTTCTGGAAAATACTTAATTTCTTCTTCCTAAAACTAAGTTTGGAAATATGTTTAAAACAAAGTCAAATAAAAAATAAATAAATATAGAACTGAACATTGATAGTAGGTAATGATATTACACGGATGAATATATCCTAAATACCCTTAACAAATTACTGTTTAGAGCTAGGCTATTTCAATAAACGAGTTATTTTAAACTTACATATTTTAGTGCATTAATAAAACAGTCCACATGTCAGAAATCATAGAAGGAACGCGAAGTATCCAGGGTATGTTACTTCATTGACATATTAGTGTAAGTTAGACTTGAAAGACGTTAAAACAAAAACAGTTTCATTATTTCGGTAAAACTTGACTGTTCAAGGATAGAACAAATATACACAATTGTGATGAGTTATTATTTTTATTTCATATCAGTGTTTATATTTATTCAACTAATTATCAAAAAATAAATATAATACTAATTTTGTTTTAGTTCGATATAAAATACAGGGTGTCCAAAAAGTCTGGAACCACAATCACTTCAACGACTTTTACAGAATATACTCCACATGTTGTCCTTGTAATTCGAAACAAGTTTGGATTAACAGTAGGATCAAATCTCCTATGGTTCTAGACTTTTCGGACATCCTGTATACATCACTAAGCATTACCTATAGCATATGATGCATAGTACTAGTGCAGGGGTCGTTGATAGACAATGTCTCCACGAGACAGTAGAATATCACCAGTAGCAATTATGGAAAAACCCGTATAAAGCAAAATATGAATGGCAGTGTATAATATCAGTAAATTGGGATAAGTTTTGGAACGAATCGAATTAAAAATTTTGAAACATAGAACGTTTTATTGACAATAATAATAACCAATCTTTGTAGAAACAGCTGGACTTACGCCATTGAATAACTGAATACATCATCGGATATCTGAGTAATATATTAGAACAAATTTATTGTTTGTTCAACAACATCACCTATACTCGACCAATCTAGCACTATACAGTCTCCATTGTAATTGATATCCCAACCTCAAGAGCACACCTTGGTCTAAAAGCCCATTGTTTCAAAACAATACTAAAACTACTAACCTAATACTGTCAAGCTACACATGCTCATTTTTACACCGAGTCTTTATTCTTTCCTGTCCCTAGCATCTTGTGGTATTTAGACACAATTATAAAAACACTACAAAAAACACTCACATTGTTATTATTACTCTAACATGATTCAAGCAAACGTTTTACTTAGTAGCAATTTCTTTTTAATGTAATAACCAAACACTGTGTAAGAACAAAATGAAAAACTTGACACTTGAAAGGCGTAATATTGTAATGTAATATCATTCTCAGTGACGAACATGTTTGCGTACAGTAAGATTCGTGTCTGTGCCAGTTACCGTAGCCTCTACCAGTACGATTGTACATTATGGTAGCGTAGGATTATAATATAACTATAAATGTTGTGGATATTTTATCAACAGATCTGATTCTGTGTATGAAGTGTCCTGTATGTATAATTAGCATTTACAACTTAGTTATTTGCAAATATAATCTGTTGATCTCGTGAAAAAAAAAATCTGACATATATATGGTCACTTTGATTTCGGTATTTTTTGATATAGAGTAATTTGATACGCACAGTTTCAAAGGACTTACGAAAATAATACAAAGTGAACTGGATCAGTGAAGATTATGTTAATGTGTGCAGTTGTTTTGTAGGTATTAGAAATATGAGGTTTAATGCAGTGTATGGTTAGCGACAAAATGTTGGGTACATTTTTGTACATATACAAACATCAGAAATATTGCTTTAATAAGTAGTTGACTTGTGAGAGTTAAAGAACATTCCGTTTTACAATAGTAAACATGTTTTTTTTATGTGTATTAAAATCATCATAATCATCACAAATCTGAAAATCTTTAGTGCTATTTATGCTGTAATAATTGTTTTGTGATTTAAATTAAAATTAAAAACAAATGTAAAAACTGACTTTGTTGTGTATGTTCTGATAAAGTATCCATAATTTGAGTACGTTTTGATCGATCATACTAAAAGTTTACAAAATGACATTTAAGCAGACTGTAACTATCAGCATTCAGCCTCTCTAATCTATATTAAACAATAAGTGAATAATGTTTTGCAATTTCAAACATTATTACAGGTAATATGTAAATGATGCATTACAAGCATAGACAAAATGATCAGGAAATAGCATATTTTGATCATGAAAAAGCTAGAGAATTTCATTCTGCTCAAGGAGTAGAAATCATGTAAGCGGCGGTAGTCTGTGTATTTATTAATTGGCTAGGAAAAACCAGGCTACGAATAGCAATAACCTCGACATTAATAAAGCAGCAAAAACTAAGCTACGAGTAGCAATAGCCTGGATATTAGTTAAGCAGCAAAAATCAGACTACGAGTAGGATTAGCTTGTACATAAATGAAGCAGCAAAAACCAGGCTACGAGTGGCAATAACCTCGATATTAATAAACAGCAAAAACAAGACTACGAGTAGCAATAATCTGGATATTAATGAAGCAGCAAAAACTGGATTAGGTGTAGCACTAGCCTAGATATCAATTAACTAGTAAAAACCAGCCTACTAGTAGTTTGTAATAGCCTGAAGACTATTTAAGCAGAAAAAACCAGGCTACGAGTAGCAATAGCCTGGACATTAATTAAGAAACAAAAACCAGAATATGAGTATCAATAGCTTAGATAGTAATAACCAGGCTATGAGTAGCAATAGCCTGGATATTAATTAAGAAACAAAAACCAGAATATGAGTATCAATAGCTTAGATAGTAATTAACTATCAATTATCAGACTATGAATAGCAATAGCCTGGATGTTAATGAAGTGGTCACAGTCTGGACATTATTCAACCGGCAAATTCCTAAAATTTTAAATTAGCGGCTATAACCTGGATATTAATTAAACGGCAACAATCTTGATATTAATCAGTTAGCAAATAAACCTGAATATTTACTAAATGGCGATATTAACTAAACTACAGTAGTCTTGATATTAATCAGTTAACAAAGAGCTTGGATGTTTATTAAACTAAAGTAGCCTTGACATTAATTAATCGGCAAAAAAATATTATATAAGCTCCAAAAACCTGGATATTACTTAAGTCGTCCGGAAAGTCATTAAATGGTAATATTTTGGATATTTGTTAACAGCATAGCAAACAGAAAGATAACTAAAACAGCATAATTTAGTTTGTATGCTAGTTAAATGAGTGTTTATATAAGTTTTTAACAAAGTTTAAAGATGCACGATTATTTCTAGTTTTCCTGATTTGACGGAAGGAGAAGATGATGCCACAAGTCTGGGAGTGTGCCAAGTATATCGAGGAGCAACCTGTTCTGAATATATCGCAAATAAGACTGTTTACTTCAAATCTTTGCGAAGTCAAGGGTTTCTGGAAGAAAAGCTAGCTGCAGCTTTTACTGTCATTGCCACTCTTCAAGACGTCTCTGCCCAGTGTCAACATTTTGCCATTCCCTTTTTCTGTTACTTTGCCTTCCCTCTTTGTGATGAAAGTTCACTCGCCCCAAAACCACGACAGGTCTGTCGCGACGAGTGCGAAGCGCTGGAATACAAGATGTGCAGACTAGAGTATTTCAATGCTAAGCGCCATCCAGTAATTAGCCAACAAAATATTCTTCCTGTATGTAAAGATCTGCCACCAATCGGATCCAAGGAGAGTCAAAACTGTGTTCGTTTGGGTGTCCCAAACGCTATGCAAATTAATCCCAGTAAGTTTTTAATTATCTTTAAGTCAACAGTATTTCAATATGAGGTTAAGCCAAACTTTAAAGTGGGGAACTGTTTTTTATTTCATTTACTTTCACTAACTTTTAAAAGTACAAAAATATATACATATAAATGTAAACTCATAAGCAGCCAAAGGTTTTTTGTGTCCAATGCTGACAGTTATTTGAATGTGCATAACATCATTATTTTCTGGTACTACTGGCGAGGTCGTGGTGATCGGAACTGAATACTTATCATGAATAGTATATTATGTAATAATGCATTTATTTACTAATTAACTTGGATATCACTCCTTCAAAGCTCACATAGTTAGCCATAAACAACATCTATAAAAGTGGATTACATTCGTGCCTTCCAAACAGGAGAGGCCATTGCAATCTGAGGGTCACGGTTTCGATTCCCCGTCACCAAACGTGCTTGCCCTTTCACCCGTTGGGGCATTATAATGTTACGGTCTATTCTACTATTCGTTGGTAAAAGAGTAGCCCAAGAGTTGGCAGTGGGTTGTGATGACTAGCTGCTAAATTAGGGACTGCTAGCGCAGAGAGCCTTCGTGCAGCTTTGCGCGAAATTCAGAAAACCAGAAAAAAACAACTGGGAAAAAGAAAAAAACGAAATGATGGACGTTAGATTTATAATCTGGTTCTAATATATTATTAACTTCCATTACGTTCTTCCATTTATTAATCTAAAGTTTTTTCCACCAATATTGTTAATAAAGTGGTGTAAGCACAACAATACATTACTCATCAGAGCATAGGCTAAGTTTCAAAATACTGAAAACTTCCATAATTATGTCTGCTTTTGGATATATATTATTCAATAATATATCTATTGTAAGTCAAACTTTATACACCAATATAACGAGAAACCAGATGGTTTCAGAGGTAGACCTTCCTTCCATCTAGAGAAAAACCTTACACGTTGCTGCCTACCAGTGTGTATACAATACCAGTTTTAGCGCGAGCGAGGCCCCAAAAAATCACATTGTCCAACAATAATTTATACACGAGCGCAAGAAGTTTTCTTTTTTAAATCGGAGTTCAGATCAGATACCTTACTGTTATTTCAAGAGATTAAACATCACACATTAGGTATCTTACTGTTATTTTAAGAGATTAAACATCACATATTATGTACCTTACTGTTATTTTAAGAGATTAAACATCACATATTATGTACCTTACTGTTATTTTAAGAGATTAAACATCACATATTATGTACCTTACTGTTATTTTAAGAGATTAAACATCATATATTAT